CGAGTATTTGCACATTTCTGCCAATCCACGAGTATTTGCACATTTCTGCCAATCCACGAGTATTTGCACATTTCTGCCAATCCACGAGTATTTGCAGATTTCTGTCAATTCACGAGTATTTGCAGATTTCTGTCAATCCACGAGTATTTGCACATTTCTGCCAATCCACGAGTATTTGCACATTTCTGCCAATCCACGAGTATTTGCACATTTCTGCCAAACTACGGTTCTTTGCAGATTTCTGCCAATCCACGAGTATTTGCAGATTTCTGTCAATTCACGAGTATTTGCAGATTTCTGTCAATTCACGAGTATTTGCAAATTTCTGCCAGGCCACGAGTCTTTACTGCAGATTTCTGTCAATCCACGAGTATTTGCAGATTTCTGTCAATTCACGAGTATTTGCAAATTTCTGCCAGGCCACGAGTCTTTACTGCAGATTTCTGTCAATCCACGAGTATTTGCACATTTCTGCCAATCCACGAGTATTTGCACATTTCTGCCAAACTACGGTTCTTTGCAGATTTCTGCCAATCCACGAGTATTTGCAGATTTTTGTCAATCCACGAGTATTTGCAGATTTTTGTCAATCCACGAGTATTTGCAGATTTCTGCCAATCAGTGGTTGATGTACTACAATGCATGCCTAACATACGTGCTCCATTCATTTGCTAAAGCGCTGTGATTGGTCAAATGGCTTTCAACCATCAATTAAAATTTATTGAAACATATTTTAAATTTCTATATATAACAAAAACATTCATGCCTTCGACGATAAAACGTGGTGTATTATTACATAATATGAAAATTATCACGGTTACTACATATCAATAATTATTGCTATTTGGTTTATCGTTCCAGAATTTGCTGGCGTTACAAATTTCGTCCAAATATGACTACCACCGTAATACTAGGATTGTTGGTTTTCTGGGTCATCTTTCACTTAGCTGATACAGCTGACTCTGACTACAGCGTGAAAGGACTGAATTTCACTCAGATCACTACCACATCAGCAACAGTCACGTGGTCGCGTCCAGGTTCAACCGACAACGTTACAGGTTTTCAAATCACGTACAAGACGGCGAGTGTTGAAATGAGTGACGCAATCGATGACGTCACTGTAATCTCATACGATTTGACTAATCTAGAACACTATACAACATATCGTACCTGTATCTATACTCTATTGGATGACGGGTCAGAGGTCATAGGAGACAGCAGTTGTGACAATTTCGTTACAAAGTACGACCCTCTTAATTACTATGCAATCGCCGCCATTGCTGTTGTGGGGTTCATAATGGTCGTACTATTGTTTTCGGTAATCGCACAGTCTCGACTCGAAGCCAAAGAACGAGCTCAGAAAGAGAAAATAAATCCAACTAAAGATGACAAAGATGCTTTAGTATCCAATGATATCTGAATCTAAACCAGTTGTGGTTTCTTCTTGTTGGTCAGAGTGCCGTCCAACTGTTATTGCAACTGTTGTGTTACCAGTTTGTAATATAATTTATACCAATCATTATTATTTTCCGTCTTTCAAGTAACTAAAGTACTCTATGGTGCCACCGTTTCACATTATAGTGTGAAATTATTAAAAGGAGCAACGGGGACTATGGCATTTTTTTTTTTTGCATTGTGTCGTTATTACTTTTGTAATAATGGGCTAAATGATATTTAGGTTTTTTACAAAATAAAACCCAGATGCCCATTCCACGAATGTGTGAACATCACCCAAACAACTAATTGTCGTAAATTAATCTTTCATTTTCACTTACAATAATATACGCCTAGGTTACACGTGTTTACTCTCTTTGGTGTCAGAGGTGATGAGTTGGTATTGTAAATTTGTGGTAAAATTTGGAAAAGTTCCCGTTTAATATTATGTCTGGTGAGCACTATTTTACAATGACTATCGTGACCTCTAGTTTGAAATGAAGCCTCTGCCCTATAGTTTGAAATTAAACTTGCGACCCCAGCTTTGAAATTCAGTTAAGCTCGTGACATCCAGCTCAAGAATACTGCACCCATATCGCATTACATTTGTTTCTAGCCATAAATGGTTTGTTTTCTTTACTGTAAAAATTAATTAAACTTTACGGTTGGGAGGGGTTCTTATTTTCTTGATGAAGACGCAATTGCTATTATGATTTGTATTTAAAAGACTATACATTTTCACAATGCATTATGGGAATTGTTTTTCGAACTATGCAGCCATGTGCATTGCAATCAGACTATTGAATCACGTAAGACAGCGTACTATGCACTGTATCAACATAAAACCTATTAGACCAAGTTTAAATTTGTCTTTTAATTTGTGTACAATGAATTTTACAGACTACTGTAAAACATGTCTTTTTAGCTAGCATGTTATTTTAGCTAATTTAGCTAATCTGTAATTTAGCTAATTCAAGATGTCACTAATTTGAAATAAAGTATATTCTCACAATGAGATTGTTGACACTTTAGCTAAATTAAGATTCAGTTAATTTATGCATGGAGTCAAATTCGCTAAAATGTTATGT